GCTGCATGAGGGGGTCAGGGTGCCTGTGAGGTGGAAGAACAGGTATGGCAGAGCCACCCACAGCTCTGGAAGCATGGGAGGCTGTGGTCAGGGAGTGGGATGTGGGTTTCGTGGCTTCAGAGGTGGAACCTTTCTGGATGGAAATAGGGAGCTACCGTGGGAATGGGTGGCAGGGGAGGTCTCAGACCATGTGGAGGCTGGGGGACTGCAAAACCAGGGGGTCCTCTCTCTTCAACGCTCCTGGGTCCTTGTTGTCAGGGAATGCCTGTCTCTGTCTTCGCTTATAATAAACATCAAGCTGGTTGCCAAAGACCTCATAAACATCATCACATTTAATCCCCATAGCAGCTTTATGAGGCTTAGATACTCTTATTAGCACCATGTTGCAGGTGAGGAAATGGGGTCTCAGACAAAAGTCACTGGTAAAAGTGGCAGAGCCAGGATTGGAACCTGGGTCATCCAGCCCCTGGGACAACCCAGCATGCAATGAATGCTTGTGGGATGCGCACACGGACCCTTACCTCTGCCTTGTTGGGCCCCTGACCGGCTCTTGGTTGGCAATTTTTCTAGTACCTCCATGTGCCACACCTCTCTGAATCTCCCCACTGGTTTTTCGTGGTGCACACATAATTGCTCCCATTCTATAGATGGAGAAAACCCAGAGAAATGAGGTTAGTTGCCCAACATTGCATTGTGAGCGAGTGGTGTCGCTGGCGTTCAAACCTCAGCCTGTCTGACTCGATGCCCCTCTGCTGCTGATCTCACGTGTCTCTTTGATTACCCAAACTTTCTGGGTAATCTGTCCGATGTCTCTGACTCAGCACCTGTATCTGCTACGTGCCAGGCAGCCTCTGGATGCACACCTGGGCACCCCTGATGCCAGGTCAACAGGCAGCAAACATTTCTGCCCCACCTCCTTCCATCTTTATTATCTCCCACTTATTTCTGTTTAAAAAGTGGGAGAATATGGGTCCACCCCCACCACCCCCTTGGTGTTGCCCTTATTAGTAAATGACACCATCATTTTCCCTGTTGCTCAGGTCAAAAGCTGGGAATGGTCTTTGATCCCTCCCTCACTCCCACCTCCCACTTTGGCAATTCCTATAACCTTAGCGCCAAAATAGTCATGGAATCCACCCACTTTTTTTTTTTTAAGATTTTATTTATTTCTTTTGATATATAGAGAGAGACAGCGAGAGAGGGAACACAAGCGGGGGAGGGGGGTGGGAAAGGGAGAAACAGGCTTCCCGCAGAGCAGGGAGCCCGATGTGGAACTCCATCCCAGGACCCTGGGATCGTGACTTGAGCGAAGGCAGACGCTTAACGACTGAGCCACCCAGGCGCCCCGGAATCCACCTACTTCTTTCCTCTCATACCAAGCCACATTTATTTCTCACCTGGACAGGTGCAGTAGCATCCTAACTGGTCTCACTGCTTCCACATTTGACCCCTGTTCCCACCTTCCCTCACCCCATGCCAAGTTCAAGTCCAGCAGCCAACGTGTTCCTAAAATATAAAACAGATTCATGTTAAAAACTGCTTAAAACCCATCTATGATTCCCCACTGCAAATAGAATAAAACCCAAATGCCTCCAAGGCATTCTGTCTGGCTTATGTCCATCCCTCCAACCTCATCACTCCATCATGCACTGTGCCTCAGCTCCCCTGGACTTCTTTGATTTTCTCAGCATGGTAGTTGCCTTCCCAATTTAGGGTCTTTGTCTTTGCTGTTCCCTTTGCCTGGGACACCCCTTCACTATGCCTGTGATCACCTTGTCTGGAGCAGACATCCCCCTTTAGTTTCTATCTCAGACCCTTGTTGGTTTCCTTTCTATGCCTTATTTCAAACTACAATTGCTTTATGTGTTTGCTTCCTTGTTTATTGTCTTTTTTCCCCCCTCTATGGCATTTATCACCATCAGATGTCCCTCATGTTTTATTTACTTGCTTTCTTGTGGATTCTGTTCCCATAACTTGAGTGTCATCTCTGACAGTGCGGGGGTTTTTGCCTTCTTTATCCGATCTGTGCCCTGGCACATAGTAGGTACACAGTAAACATTTGTGGAATGAAGTAACATCTCTCTCATTTGAACTGAAGCTTCATGGGGGCCGGGACCTTGTCTTGCAGGTTCACTGCTGAATCCCGAGACTAGTCTGCTACCTGACATGCAGTGAGGTTCTGTATAAACAGGCCGAAAGGGTGAGATGATCTCAAAGCCTCCTTCTCTCCAGAATCTCTGCTTCTATCAAAAAATCCACTTCCCTCCAGAATTCCCGATTCCCTCCAGAATCTCTGCTTCTCTCCAGAAATCTGCTTTCCTCCAGAATCTCTCTACCCAATGCTTCTACCTCTTCAGACCTGACACCAATCTCCAACACACAGGGGGAAGATGGGAAAGCCCATCTTTCTGAGACTGGGTTTGAAATCCCTAAGGGGAAGAAAGCTTCTGACTCTGGGGGATGAGGTTTCTGCATTATCAGCCTTGATCCTTTCACAGATCCACTGCCATACTCAACAAGAATTAAGGATCCCTTGTGTTTATGTAGGGGCTGCAGTTTACCAAGGCCAAAGACCACAGCAAAAGTCCCCCTCCACAATGACTAGGGCTTCTGTCTCAGCAACACCCCTACTCTGCCCTCCATGCTTACTATGGCTTTCTCCCTCAGCAAAAGACTGTCCCGTGTTTACTATGGCCATCTGCCTAATTGGCAAACATCTTTATTTCTGTTCAGTCTGTTTAGGACAGACTTCTCTTGTACTGGGGTTCATGTGGGAACTCTCACACTTAGAAAACACACCCTAGAGTTTAGTAGGATTTCCAGCCCTTGGTGAGTGCTTCTTAAATAGCCCTCACATCCATTCCCACCATCCCACCCCCTTGCTGCTGCTCTGTTTTGGCTTCTCCCTGCAGTCTTCCGGGACATGGCCCCAGAAGGAGCTTTCTGATACCCAGAGCTAGTCCTGTCTGCTCTGAACCCTTCCTAAGGCCCCCATTACCTCCAGCAGGCAGCCCTCAGTGTGCAGCAGCTTTTCACTCCTCTCAGGGGCCCAGCCTCCTGGGCTAGCTCTTCCCCAGCCATCTTGCCCAGGGAGCAGCCATTCCACACAGCTTCAAGGTGCTTCGTTACCTGCAGACCCCTGCACCTGCTGCTGTTCTCTCAGCTTTGTCTCCCTCCCACCGCTTTCTCGCGCTCCTTCTTCTTCTTCTTCTTCTTCTTTTTTTTTTTAAGATTTTATTTACTTGAGAGAGAGAGAAGGAGTGGGGGCAGGGGCAGAGGGAGAAGCAGACTCCCAGCTGAGCAGGGAGCCCGATGCGGGACTCGATCCCAGGACTCCGGGATCATGACCTGGGCCAAAGGCAGACACTTGACCGACTGAGCCACCCAGGGGCCTCATCTCGTGCTCATTCTTACTCACCTTCTGGGGCCCGGTTGAAACACTACCTCCTTCAGAAGGCATTCTATGACACCTCATGCTGAGCTGGGCACCCCACCTCTAGGCTCCCCTGTGTCCTTGCTAACTCCCCACTGTGGCATGTATCCCTCTGTGTCCATGCCTGCCTTCCCACCAGATGGGAAGCCCACTGAGGGCAGGGACTGAGGCTGACTCAGCTATTTCTCCACTGCTCCCTGCAGGGCCTGGCTCCTGGGAGGTGCCAGCAAATGTTTGCTGTGTGAATAAAGGGATGATCGTTATCATTCCTCTGCTCTTCTCACAAATCTGCAGAGCTCGCTGCCTCACCTTGGATAGGTCTTTGCTCCATTGTCACCTCCTCGAGGCCTGTTTTGTGTGTGTCTCAGCCTATCGATAACCAACGCTGTGTCTGGACCGGCCCTTGTGGTTCTCATGATTGCAAGATGCCCTCAACAATAACCATCAGGAAATTAAAAAAAAAATTTTTTTTTTTAAATTGGGGGCCATAAAGCGAGGTCACGGTGGATGGTGGGTGCATGGGTCTCTGGGGTTTTCTTTTATTGGGGCCCAGGGGGTACCTAGGGTTTCACAGGCTCACTCTGTGAATTTAAAACACGAGTGGGGGAATTTAAAGCATGGGAAGAGGGAAAACAAGCTGCGGGGTGATTTTGATTTACGGAAATCAACTAAGGTCTTTAAAACAAAGGAGCCTGGGAGACGGGGAAGGCGGCCTGGCTCTTTATCTAGTCGTGTGCCTGGCATCCTGTTTACTGAGATACCCATCTTTGAAGTGGATGCTTTGGCAAGCAAAGCTCAAGTCAGGCACTTGCATTACAAAAAAGAGAAAACCCAACGTCAGGGCTTCCACTACACCTACTTAAATGTTGGCCTGTTTCCATCCCCTGATTTATTGCCACCTGACATACTACATATTCAACTTATTTTTCTCCTTTCTTTTTTGGCCTTTCCCATTCGGGCAGGTGTTTGTTCACTGCTGTCACGGATGAAGCGCTCAATAAATATTTGCGGAATGAATGGATGCATGAATACACGGGTCTTGAGGTCAAGGAAGGTTTCCAGTGGGGCCTTAATCTTTCTGCTAGACTGTGCCTGTGCCTCTCGCCCTTGCGCCTGGCTCAGACCAGGGAGGCCCGGGAGGAGGTGGCTGCGGAGAGCAGAGCTCCCACCTGGGCGGCAGAGAGAAACAATTGCCCCCTGATGCACAAGTGTGGGTACAGTGACCTCTTGTGGCCAAGGCCTAGGATAGCATCTTCCTAGTTCCCCTGTGGGGCCCTCAGTTCCCGTGTGAGGTCTGAACAGTGGTTGAATCCGAATGGAGATGGGCTGTAAGCACAACATACATACTGTATTTCAAAGGCTTAGTACAAAAAAAAAAAAAGATTGTAAAATCTTTTAAAGTTTTAAAACTTTTTTAGTTTTTTTTTTTTAAGATTTTATTTATTCATTTGACAGAGATACAGCCAGAGAGGGAACACAAGCAGAGGGAGCGGGAGAGGGAGAAACAGGCTTCCCGGAGCAGGGAGCCCGATGCGGGGCTGGATCCCAGGACTCTGGGATCATGACCTGAGCCAAAGGCAGACGCTTAATGACTGAGCCACCCAGGCGCCCCTAAAACTTTTTTAGTTTTAAAATAACAACATGTTAAAACTGTAATATGTGGGGTATTTAGGTCAAATATATTCATTTGGGTCAAGTAAAATATATTATTAAAAGTTCACCTGTTCCCCCCCCTTTAAAAAATATGGCTCTTAGAAAACTTAAAATTACACATTTGACTCACATTATATTTCTATAGGATAATGCTGAACCACGGGCGAACTCTAACCATCCACCCACCGCCTGGTGTGGAGGGACAAACCCCAGCTAGGTGACCTCAGGCCAGTTATCGAGCCTCAGGCTACAGCCAATGGGACCGTGGTGTGGATGAAATCAGATGGTACAGCCTCCGCGGTATGCACAGCACTCGATGAGAAGCATGCTGATTCTGTAAATGAGAGAGCCCATCGAGTGAAGCGGTTTTGCTTATCCTGCTACCGGCAAACATGACACATAGTAGGTCCTAAAGAAGGGTTAGGACTCTCCCGAGCATGCCCAGAACCCGGCAGAGTACTAGGCAGGCAGCCCCCTAGTTTCTACTGGCTCTGGAAAGGAAAGTTGTCCAGTTCTTTCCTTTCTGACAGAGTTCTGGTCTCCGGACCCTCCTTCCTCAGACCCTGGAGTCCTGGCCCCAGTTCCTCCTTCTCCAGCCCCCCAACCCTCCTCCCTCAGACCTCGGAGTCCTGGCCCACAGCCCCCCAGGCCCTCCTCCCTCAAACCCAGGAGTCCAGGCCTCAGCTTCTGCGGGGTCACCGGTAACCGGTCCCGTCCGTCCCCCTCCCAACCTCACACCGAAGCCCGGGCGGAGGGGGTTTATTCGCAGCGCTCCTTACAGGCCGCCCCGCACTCCCCGTCGGCGGGGCCCGGCGCAGAACCGGGGTCGCTGGGCGGCGGGGGTGGCGGCCCCTCCTCGTCGCGCGCCCCGCCGCCCTTGCCGATGGCCAGGCGGGGCCGGCCGCGCTGCAGGCCGTCCAGGAGGGCGCAGGCCTGGCAGAGCGCGCGGCTGGCCAGCGCCCCGCAGCGGGAGCAGGCGCCGGGGGGCGGCGGCCGCGCGGCCGGGGCCAGGGCCAGGCGCTCGGCCGAGTGCACCAGGTCCAGCGCCGCCGACGGCCGCGCCGCCTCCAGGAGCTTGAGCAGGTGGCGCGCGTGGCCGCGGAAGGCCTCGGGCGCGTAGACGCACTCCTCCGAGAAGTAGTCGAGGCGGCGGAAGTGCGCGTACAGCACCACCTCCTTCTGCGAGGCCAGCTGCAGGGGGCGGCAGCGCGGCAGTGCGCCCCCCTCGCCCCGCGAGCCCAGGCCCCCGCCCCGGGCCAGCCGCCCCGCGTCGCCCCGCAGGAAGTTCATGAGCACGGTCTCTGCCATGTCGTCGGCGTTGTGGCCTGGGGGAGAGAGGGAGAGCAGGTGAGGTGGGGGCGCCACCGTGGGGCAGCCAGGACCCAGCCAGACGGGGAGGGGCCTGCAGAGTGGCACGGAGTGTGCCACCCGGCCAGGGAGACCCCACCCCCAGGACCCAGAGAGAGATGGGGAGGGGATGGAAAGTGGCAGAAGGTGACCAGGCCCTGGAGGCCTCACACCCCAGACCCTGTGGGGCAGCCAGGACCCAGAGAGATGCAGAGGGGTGTGGGGAACAGCAGGGAGGGCCACACAGGGCCATGGAGACCCCTGGGCACCATGGGACAGCCAGGTGGAGGCTGGAGGTGGTCACAGTGAGAAACAAGAGGAGAACACACACAGACTTCCGGGGAGCAACTCGGGGTGCCCTCCTTTGCCACCCACTTATGGCCAACCAGGCCCTGTGCTAGTTGCCTTCTCACGAAGGTAGTAAAAGTGCTTTACGCTACAAGTACCATTTCAGTCTCAGAAGTGTGCTTCCTACTGCACAGAAGTCAAAATGGCATTTAACCGTTAATGGAGATTCTCAAGGGAGCTCTTGTCTCAGTGCCTCTGGGAATGCAGATCGCGGAATGCAGAAAGACCAGGGAGGAAGTAAGGGAATATTTACACAACAATCACCATAAAAACATAAGCTAAATCTCTACTTATTCTGCATCTTGTCATCTTATACTTGAGCCTGTATAGTCCAGACAGTAAAACACTGGTCTTCTTAGGGCTTCTCCAATTGGCCATACTAACCCTCCTCAGGGCCTTTGTATAAGCTGTTTCCTCTGCTCAGAACCCGACCCTCTGTCCGACCTTCACTGGTTACTTGGGTGGCCTTCAGGTCTTCGCTCACTCTGGAAATGCTTCCTAACCCCTACTCTTCTCCCTTCACTGGGTGCTCCGGCTATAACCTGGCAAAGTGTGATTTTCTTTAGAAGCACTTCTCAGGTTATAATTATGCATGTGAGAGAAAAGCAGGAACAGAGACTGTCTTGTGTGTCATCACGATGGCAAACATTTCTGTAATGCCTCCTGTTTCCAGTCTCTGGTCTAAGTGCCTACACATAACTCATCTAATTCCCAACAACCCTGGGACCTCGATATTATTAATAAGCCCATTTTACAGAAGAGGTAACTGTGGTTAGGTAATGCTCTGGGCTACGTAGCTTGTACCTGGTACGCAGTAAATGGTCAAGGATTATGTGTGGAAGTAATGACCGGGAGAGAATAAGGGTTAGCAGAGAGGAGAGGCCGACAGAGAAAAGCAGTTCAAAGATAGTTGCGTTTCAGACTACAGTTGGCTTCTGATGGGTGGTACCACTTCACTCGCCTCCTTTTGTGAGGGGAGACACAAAGAATGCCATTTTTTTAAATGCAGGGAACCACAGCCCCCAGAGAGTACCCCTCCACCCCTCTAGCTGCCAATGTGATGGCGGTGACTCAAAAGCATGCAGCGCCCATCCCAGGCACGCACGCGTACTGTGCCCGTACTTCACTTCACACACCTTCAGCGGGCATGCATATCCCCTTCTCCTCGTGGACAGCCTCCACCCAGGGCACACCCAGCGTCTCCTTCACCACTTCTTGGACCCGGGCCCAGGCCCTTTAGGTGCCGGCCCCTCGCCCCTCGGCTGCAGTGCCTGCGCTCACCCGTCACGATGTGCGTGGCTCCCACGAGGCGCGCCCCTTCCTCCAGCGCGCGGCGCCGCAGCACCCCGCAGAAGGTGCAGCAGGCGCGGCTGCGGCCGGAGCCGGCCGTGCTGCGGGCCACGGCGTCCATCGTCCAGCCCCCGAAGAGGTCTGCGTAGGCCACGACGGTGAGCGGGAGGTCCCAGCGCGCCGCCTGGCGTCGCACGGCCGCCAGCGCCGCGTCGCGGTAGCCGCTGATGCCCTCGTCCACGGCCACCAGGCGCAGCGAGACGCCCAGGCGCGGCGCTAGTTCGCGCAGCACGTGCGCCAGCACCGTGGAGTCCTTGCCGCCGGAGGCCCCCACGGCCACCACCGCGCCGGGCGGCAGCAGGCGGCCCGCCAGCACCGTGTGCAGCACCTCGGCCTCGAAGGCGGTGCAGAAGCAGGCCCCGCACAGCGCTTGACCGGAGCGCGGGCGGCGGAGGGCAGCGCGCGCCGCGTGGCAGGAGGCGCACTGCGGGGCGGGCATCGCGGGTTCCGGGCGGGCCGGGAGGAGTTGGCTTCTCCTGGACAGGGAGAGAGGGGAGGCAGGTTACATACGGATTCTGGTTTGCGGGGGTCGTAGCCTCCGGGGAGGCTGCCAGCTACCTCTCCTGCCCAAATTGATCCAGGGCCATGTGCAGGTAGAATATGCTTTTTCTGGATGTTCTGGCTTCAGGAGGCTTCTCGTAATGCACCCCATTGTGCACCAAGTAGAGAAGGAGCCTGAGTTGGTATGGGGGTGGGGTGGGAAAGACAAGCAAGTTACACTCAGAATTAGGTTGTGTCCTGTTTGAGGTGTTGGGGCTGCATATTAAGAAGCAGTGTCACAGTCTCCAGGAAGGCTGTCCCTGTTACAGCCCAAATCAGAGGGACAGGGTGGAGATCTTTGACCTGGACCTCCAGAGCTGTTTAGAGAGCCTGGGAGGGTCAGCAACTCTAAGGAAAGAGAAGGGGTAGGGGACTGCAGCTTTATTCAGGGGAAGGGGGAGAAAGGGAAACACCAACTGGATTTCACTTTGGGTGGGGGTGGGATACTGTCTCCCGATTGCATCCTCTGCAGAGCAGGGTGATCACCAACTCCAGGGAGACACAGAGGCAGCGTGGATCACATCTCCAAGGACACCAACTGGGGCTGCTTCTGTTTCCCAGGCAGGGTGGATGGGCCACCAGGATTGGACTCAATTCTGCTCTGGTATCAGAATCTCCCACAAGTTTCTATGGACGTACAAAACGTGGATTAGCCCATCCTTGACCCCTTTCTGTCCTCCCTCCTCCTACCTTGTTCCTTCCCAGCAGAAACTCCAATCCTCCAGCCACATGCCTGGTAAACCCATAAAAATCCACCAGGCTCAGTACCGCCTCCCCAAGCCACCATTGCCTCCAGCCTGGCCTAGTCCAGGAGCCTCTGAGCAGGTCACCCTGCTTCTAGGATTTGCCACAATACGTGGAGTCATCTTATGTGACTTTGTTTACTGTCTGTGACTTTCTGAGGCAGGGCCCATGCCATTCAAATGTCTAATAGGCATCTCAAAACCCAGATTCCTGATTGTTTTTCCCACACTTGCTTCTCCTGCAGTGAAGAGCAGCTCCATCCTTTCAGCTGCTCAGGCCAGAAGCCTTGCGGTCCAGGACCCCAGCCTGCTCTTCCTCCACCACCCTTCTCACGCTCCCCGTGGGTGACTCCAAATTGCAATGTCGAGTCGCAGCCATTCCTCCACATGTCCCACTGAGGATGCCCCAGAGACATTCTCAGACCTCAAACCCCAAATGCCCAAATGGAAGACAGCAAATCCTGTTTGACTAGCTTCTACGCAGACCCAGAAGCCAACACTTCTCACCATCTGCACGGCTGCCACCCTAGTCTGACCCACCATTTGTTCTCATTTTAGGAAAAGCCAGTGGTCTCCGAGGCTCTCTGTGACCTGGCTCCCTTTTTCTCTGACCTTGTCTGCCTCCTCCTCGCTCATGCTGGTCTGTACTCTCAAACACTGCAGGACACACACCTACTGCAAGGTATTCGCACTGGCTCTTCCCTCTGCTCAGAGTACTCTTCCCTGTCACTGGGCCAGCAAGTAGCCCTTAGGAGCCATCAGGCATGACCATCAGGTGCATCTGTCAAGCTGAGCAACGGCCCTTTGAAGTTTTTTCTCTTTTGAGTTGATCTTCCCTCTGCTCTTGTGGTTTATCTCCTGCAGAGTCTCCAATCTCCTTTGGAGAGTCCTCTTCATGGTCCTCAGGTCCTGCCCAGCCCATTCTCCTTGTGGGTGACTCTGCTTGTGATGTCCATCCGGCTGGTCCTCCAAATGCCCCACTGAGGATCCTGTCGAGGCCCTCTCAGATCCCAAGTGCCCACACTGGCCAGCCTCCAATCCCCCCCGCCCCCCAGGCAGAAATCTGTTCTTACCCAGCTGTTTCCTGTCTCCTGAGGGCACCACCACCTTCCGCCCAGCTCCTCCACAAGACAGGACATAGTCACCCTGGATTCATCCCTCCTCTTGCCCTAAATCTACAGTCACCCAGTTCCGGGGGTCTGCCTCCTGGAGGAGGAAGACCCTGGCAGGTGTTGAGTCTATGCAGGTTGTCAGAGACTCATAGGCCAGGATATGGAGTTTGAATTTTATTCAGAGAGGGTTTTGAGCAGGAAAGGGATATGATCTGACTTATGTTTTAAAAGGATCCCATTGACTGCTGTGCGGGGAACATACTTGAGCGGGCAAGAGCAGAGGCAGGGAGCCCAGGGAGGAGGCTATGGCAATAGCCAGTGATGGTCACAAATGGCCTGGTTGGGGGTGGTGGCAGTGGAGGTGGGAAGGAAGGGTGCAGCTCTTCTGGAGGACTCGAGCTGTTTTGAAGGTAGAGTCCATAGGACTTGCACGAGACTTGGATTGTGGTGGGGGCTCAGCTGATGAGAAAAGATGAATGGAGACTGACTTGGAGGTTTTGGCCAGAGCTCCCAGGAAGATGATGGGGACATTTCATCAGGAAGGCCACAAGGAATTCCATTTGGACATATCAGGTTTGAAATACCTGCTGAGCATCTTCCTGCAGAAGACTTTATGGATCCGGCCTGGGTCAGGTGCCCCCTCCAGGCTCACAGATCGGCTAGTATGCCTCCATCCCCGCCTGACCACGACTCTACCTGTCAGTGACAGACCTGTCCCCTTTGGGGTACTAAAGGCAGGGACTGGGTCTGCCTTGTCCACTGCCGTCTCCCCCCAGCCTCGCATAGGGTTTGGCCCAGTGCCCGCGCTCAGTAAATAACGTAGAATGTGGGAATAATAAGTGCCCCCCAGAAGAAGAGACGCGGACCTCCGGATTGCAGCCTTGTCAGAGGGATGATAGTGTGTGACATCCTTCTATCAGAGCAGAGGTTCGAGGACACACTAGGGGCCTCTTGAATGTACCCGATGCTGTGGGGGTGGGCAGAGAGATGGTGGAATCCCTACCTGGCGGAAAGGGTGGGTGGGAAAGAGACAGGATGGACCACAGTGTCCAACGTGGGGATCCTGGCCAGAAGGCCTCTGGGGCACAGCCGTTAGGGAATCCAGGGGGCTAGCGTCACCACTTCCCGAGCCTCTCGACTTCACATGGCATCGCAGTTAAGAACAGGGGCCCACGGGCCCATCCGCTGCAGGAGGAACAACTCACCTGGACAGAACGCGGTACTAGAACGTCCAAAGTGCCCCACACGCGGAAGTCTGGCACGGAAGTGGCTCCGGAGACTACAACTCCCACAAGGCTTTGGGGGCCGTCTTGCCTACTGCTCCCAGAACCCCATGCGGCAACTTCGAAGCGCCTGAGGCTCCTGGGCCTGCTGGGCCTACAACTCCCAACAACCTTTGCGGCCCCCTTCTACCGTGTACGGCCCGGTTTCCTTTATGCGCCTGCGCACGAGCTTGGCACTCGGCAATGCTGCGTGGTTTTTGTTTTTTTGTTTTTTTTTTTCCTGTGGCAGTGCACTGTCGCCGTCACCGTGCAGGACACTTAAAAGGCGACGCAGCTGTGCTCGGATTATCTGCTTTTGTGGAATTATTATAGGCTTTATTTTTATTTTATTTTATTTTATTTATTTGTCATAGAGAGAGAGCATAAGCAGGGGCAGTGGCAGGCAGAGGGAGAGGGAGAAGCAGGCTCCCCGCTGAGCAAGGGGTCAGAGCGGGACTGGATCCCAGGACCCTGGGATCATGACCTGAGCGAAAGGCAGATGTTTAACCGACTGAGCCACCCAGGCGCCCCTTATTATAGGCTTTATTTTTTTAATTTTTAAAAAAAATTATAGGCTTGTAGGGCATTAATTTCTAACCTTCCTTGCAGGAAGGAATTGAATGTGGGAGCGCAGTGGCTGCTCTCCAGTGTGAAAGGAAGAGGTTGCGCATGCACAGGGCAGAGAGTCCGAGGGTCGGGGCTGGGAGTGGATTTGTGCGTGCCCTGGGCGGCTGCTCATGAGCATGTCAAATGGGGAGAAGGAGCGGTGTGTGTGAGCCGAGGTCTCTGCGTGCTTCAGCTGTTAGTGATTTGGTGGTGGGTGGGCGTGTGTGTGTTGGGGGGTGGGTGTCTCTGGACGTGGCTCCTGGCTCTGGATAGTGGGTGACACTGAGATCCACTGTGCAGGTTCCAGTCCGTGAACCGGGTAGTACACACTTCCTTTCACGAGGAGGTGGAGCTGGAGGGTGGAGAGCTGGTAAGAAAGAACGTGGCGGGACCAGGAGACCCCAGAGACTCCGACTTCCGATCCAGAGGCTCAGACCCCAGAAATCCAGTAGTCATTAGGGCCAGGGCCATGGAGAATTAGAGTCCCAGTAACTCAGAGGCCTGAGACCCAGACCCTCTAGATTTATTACTGAGAAATGCCACACTAAAAAATATACCCAACAAAAGTACTTATTCATATCAAAGGCATGTTTGTAGCAACACTCTTCCTAATCGTTCCAGACTGGAAATAATCCGAATATCCCTCTACTGTAGGAGGTCCGTGTAGTGTATGGCATATGCACACCGTGAAATTCTTTCAGCAGTGAGAATAAATGAATTGCTGTTATGTGTGTGGGTGACTCTCACAATAAAATGTCAAGCATAAGAAGCCACGCACTGGAAGATCCCAACTACATAAAAGTCAAAAACAGAGAAAACTAATCAGTGGTGACAGAAGTCATTATAGCGGTTACTTTCCTGGAGGGGAGTAACTAGGACTGGGTGCTGGTGGGGCTTCTTGATCTAGGTGGTTGTTCCAAGAATGTCACCATCATATGAAAATTGATCAAGCTTATCTTTATAATCTGAACTGTTTTCTCTGTATGTTTTGCCTCAATGTCTTTTGCTTTAAGAACAAAATAAGGGCAGGGGCGCCTGGGTGAGTCAGTGGGTTAAGCGTGAGACTCTTGGTTTCAGCTCAGGTCATGATCTCATGGGTCCATGGGATCAAGCCCCATATTGGCCTCCGTGCTCAGCAGAGAGTCTTCTCAAAAGATTCTCACCCTCTCTCTAAAAATAAATAAATCTTTTTTAAAGTAACAATGTAAGTGGATATTTCACTCGGATATATGCTAATTAATTTTAAAATTCAGATGACATATAAAAATTATAAGAAAAATATAATTTACTGAAACAGTCTCAAGAAGAAATGAAAACCCCAAATAGCCATATATCCATAAAGAAATTGATTCAGTAGGAAACATCTTTTTCCGGGGGGGGAGGGGAAATTCACTGGCAGGTTCTGAATGTGCAAGGCAGAAATAATACCAACTTTTCATTAACCTTTCCAATATGAAAGACACATCAGCCAGTATGACTTTTGGAAGTCTTTTGCTTTCTCCAGGCTTCACTGAGTCCTGCGGAGTCAGGAAGTGGTACTGGCTGGTCTCCAAGAAGCTCTCCACCCTGGCAACCGTGGGTCTGAAGTTGCACTAATGCATACAATTACTATCCTTTTCATAATCACTGGCTTCCTCTTGGGGTTCACCGTTTTTTTTTTTTTAATCATTCTTGCCATACCGAGAGACCCTGGTGACCAGACTGTCCCAGGACAGTGCCTGGCGTTTATGGTTCGAGATAAGTCTCTGCTGCTGGTAGTGCTGCTATAGTCCATGCTGTAGGAAGGTGAATGGACCAGGAGCCAGAGGAGTCTAGGGCAGGGAGTGAGGGTAGAGCCTGAGTCTCTCTTGAGTGGCTTTGGTGCAGGGTCCAGAACATGAATTTGAAGTGCAGAAATTGGGGATATGGATCTCCATCCCCCCAAGTTACCTGGGTCAGGACTCCTTGACTTACTCCATATGCCTTCTTTTCTCCACCCCACAACCCCAAGTCAGTTGGGGTTCCCAACTGAGTCCTGTAAGCTTCACCTCCTGAAAATGTCCCAAATTGCTCCCTTCCTCAACCCCTCTTCATCCCATCCTCTCTCCTCCACCCATATGGCCGTGACCACTGCTCCTTCTTCGTCCCCACCTTCCTGGTCTCCAGTGGCTCCCCTCAAGTCTGTGTCCCACAAAGCACAGGCCCAGAAAGGTTTCCCTGCCCCCAGAGCCCACCCCACCTTTTCCCTGCTCAGAGCCCTGAGTGGCTCCCTTGCACCTCAGGATAAGTTCCTCAGCTCATCCGGTGCAGAAACTTCCCTGCCCTCCCCAGCAGGCTCCAGAGATATTTGCCATTCCTTTCACCTACAAGGCTCAGTGCCTTTGCTTGTCACTCCTCCAACTGAGGAGCCTTCCTCCACGTGTTAATATGACAGTTCTTCTCCTTCCAGGCTCAGCTCAGCCTCTTCCCCTCCAGGGTCTTTCAGCCACTCTGGACTCCTGGATGTGTGTGTATATGAGCATGGGTCAAATAGTCATGCATCCTTTGCATCTGAGTGGGAGGTAGGAGAGACACACCTCTCAGCTCCACTAACCCTGTCTACCCCCCAATGGGTCCTGGTCTTTGTGGCCGATAACAAACCCCTGCCAGGGCGCCTGGGTGGCTCAGTTGGTTAAGCGACTGCCTTCGGCTCAGGTCATGATCCTGGAGTCCCGGGATCGAGTCCCGCATCGGGCTCCCTGCTCAGCGAGGAGACTGCTTCTCCCTCTAACCCTCCCCCCTCTCATGTACTCTCTCTCTCTCTCTCTCTCTCATTCTCACTCTCTCAAAATAAATAAATAAATCTTAAAAAAAAAAAAAAAAACAACCCCCTGCCATGCTGAGCTTGTTCTGGGAGGGAAAAACCCTGAGCCCCTCCCAGCCCTCAGCACCTGGGGTCCTGGAGCTGCCCCATGGGTTGAGGATGAAGGGGAGTTCACCTGCCAGGCTCAGCACCCACTGGGCTCCCAGCACGTTTCCTTCAGCCTCTCTGTGCAGAGTGAGTTGTAATACAGTTTCGGGGGTGGTCAGCCTGGTCAGGTGTTTGGGATATAGAAGGGACTGGGGCCTGGGGACAGAACTTCATCCTCTGGACCCCCTTCTGCAGGAACCCCCTCTTCTTGCAACTGTGTGACTGAGAAGCAGGAGGGCTCCTGGCCACTGGTCCTCACCCTGATCAGAGGGGCCCTCATGGGGGCTGGCTTCCTCCTCACCCCTGGCCTCACCTGGATCTACTACACCAGGTGAGCGGGCCTGTCCCTCTCCAAGGAAGTCTGCTGATTGGCTCCTGAGCTCCAGCTGGTGCTGAGCTGTCCCACCCTGCCTGGAGTTAGAACGAAAGTGGTAGCTCTCTGATCTGAGACCCGTGTTGGTTCTGCAGGTGTGGAGACCCCCCAGGGAGCGGGGCTGAGAGGCCTGACTGAGCCTCCTTCCTTTTCAAGACGGGACTGAGGTGTGGACCTGGAGCCCAGGGGGACAGATATGGGACATCATGTCAGCTTCCTGGAAACACTTGGCCCACACACCCTGTGATGGCTCCTTTGTGTTGTATCTGCCCCACTCCCCATTTACCCACCCCCTCCCCCATCCTTGTTCCCTCCTGTCCCAGTCTCAGTCCTCTGATGGAGGGACTAGCCTTTGGGGTCTTGTCTTCCCACCACTCAAGAGTCCCCTTGTTAACTCTATACAGTGTTTAACTCAAAATTTGGTTTCTATTTTACACCAGATTTGTCACCTTCCCCCCTAAATTTGTACCTTTAATGGTCTGCATTCCACAAGCATTTATTTATCACCCACTGTAGGCAGAGTAAAGCCCAACATTCTCAGAGGTTACAACTGTGAATGAGGGCCATGCTGCATTTCATGACAGGAACCCTTATCAACAGCAGTACTAGATGATCAGTGGCCCCGGGCTGTCAACTCCACTCCAGCTGTCCTTCCAACCCAACGTCCCCAGGGCAGCCAGAGAGAACACCTGAAAACACAAATCTGACCATTTCACTCCCTGACTCTCTAGCTTTAGACCCTTCAGTGGCTTCTATTTCTCATGGAAAGAATGAGAAAGTAGGAAGTATGGCTCATGAGATCTGGCTTAGTCTGCCTGTCCCCCTTTTGACTGTATGAGGCAGGGTTCTCCAGAGAAACAGAACCAAACAGAGATTTACTATGAAGAACTACCTCCATTTTGGAGGCTGAGAGCTCCCACAATATGCCACCTGAAAGCTGGGGACCCAGGAAAGCCAGGGGTGTAATTCCAGTCTGAGTCCCAAGGCCTGAGAACCAGGGGAGACGATGCTGCAAATCCCAGTCCAAGGGCAGGAGAAGACCAATGTCGCAGCTCACAAGCAGGCAGGAAGGGAATGAGTCTGCTCTTCCACTGCTTTTTGTTCCTTTCAGGCCCTTAGAGGATTGGATGGTGCCCACTGGCATCGGGGAGGGTTAGCTACTTTACTGAGTCCACTGATTCAAATTCTAATCTCATGTGGAAATACCCTCACGGACACACCTGGAAATAATGTTTAATCTGGGCATCCCATGGCCCATGGCAAGCTGACACATAAAATTAATCATCACCCTGGCCTCGGAAACCAATGTTCACCATATACACACAGACAGACAGACAGACCCAGCTGGGCATTGGTCATTCTGAGTCTTGAGATGGTGGGCCATATCCTGTCCATTGCTCAGGGAAGATGGGGTCCTGTGAGTAGGCAAATGGCCCCAGTTGTCAGGTCAAAGAGATCCTGGGACAATGTCTTAGTAGGAGAGAAATGCTAGGGACACAGTTTTCCTGGATCCTTTGCATGTCACTGTAAACTTCTCTCTGGGCCAGGAGCAAATCTACAAACTGGCCAAGAAGGGCCTGACTCCCCCCCAAATCGGCATGATCCTGAGTGACACCCGTGGTGTTGCACAGGTATGTTCTGTGACAGGCAATAAAATCTTGAGAATTCTTAAGTTCAAAGGACTTGCTCCTGATCTTCCTGAGGATCTCTACCATTTGATTAAGAAAGCTGTTGTTGTTCAAAAGCATCTTGAGAGGAAGAGAAAGGATGAAGATGCTAAATTCTGACTGATTCTGATGGAGAGCCGTATTCACCGCTTGGCTCGATATTATGGGACCAAATGAGTCCCCCCTCCCCTCAATTGGAAATATGAGTCATCCACAGCCTCTGCCCTGGTTGAATAAGTTTCACTATGTACTCAAACAATAAAACCATTGTCTAACTAGGAAAAAATAACTGGAAGCAAAAGGGGAAGGGGATTCTCGGAAATGTAGTCCTCAGGTCAAATGAAGGCCTCAGATCACCATTTAAGAACCATCCTTGAAATACAGTAAGTAGAAAAATTCATCAGCCCAGTAAACCTCCCATTATCTTTTCCCTGTTAGCTATGACTTGTGTGGGCTACTGTTTTGGTTATCTATTGCTGCACATCAAACCACCCTATGACCTGGTGGCCTGAACTTTTATTCTGTTTCACAGTGCTGGTGCTATAAATGGGCCAGGGCCCAGCTGGGCAGTTGCATTGCTAGCTTGCTTTCGGCTCTTTCAGGCAGTCGTGTTGAGGTTGAGATGGTGGCTGAGATTTTGGGGCTGGGTGTCTGACCCTCAAGGTTCCTCTATGTAGCCTTTCTCTCCATCAGGTCCCCAGATTGCTTACACAGATGCCCAGGAATCTGCAAGGCAGGAGTGGAAACTACCAGGCCTTCTTAATGTATGAGTCTTGGAACAACTTGTCCTCCACATTCTGTTGATCAAAGCAGTCGTGGGCCCAACCTTGATTCAAGAGGAGGAGATAGTAATGAACTTTATCTCCTAATGAGAGGAGCTTCATGTTTGTATAAAGGAGGGGTGAGGTTGTTTGGGGGTTGTCTTTGGAGGCTAGTTCCTACAGCTACTCATCTGTCTTAAGTGTTGGCTGCCTCCTCTAGGAGGATTACCCCTCTCTGTCAGGGATGTTCAGAAAATGAAATGGAACCAGGTATGTAAAAGGGCAACACAGAACCTTCATTTTTCCCTGCGCTTGGACCAGTGACAATAGCCTGGCGTTATCCGTAGAACACTTCTGAAGGTGGATAGAAGGATAAGGAAGAGAGACTCAGGTCTTCTCTTTCCCCTGTGTTTCCCCTCCCAGGTAGAGCTGAGCCCTCCCCAGCACATCAGACATGCTGACTGCCCTGACTCCAGACGTAGGATCCCTGTTCTCTGTGATCAGGCCCCTCCACAGAGCTGTGGACATGCCCGACGTCAGCCTTGCCCTCTGAATCAGCACCACGGACAGCACCATCGCGTTTTCGGAGGGATCCTGCGCAGAGAAAGCGCCCCCTATGGGTGGTGGCCCCACCTCTGCTGGGGCAGAGGTGATGTTGGTCACAGAGCACAAAACTTGGTACCTGGAGAAAGATTTCCAGCACAGTGGAAGACTGAGTGGGGTTGAGAACACAATACCTGAGAGTCCAGAAATTCTCAGGGTACAAAGATCACCTGTGGAATTCACATCCCTTGAGTTGTCTGAAACTCCCTACCATGTCTTCTTGTCCCTGAGAACTCACCTTACAGAACTCACCTTGCAGTCCAGAAGAGCAAGAGCCCCACGCATCTCCAGCCTGTGCCTCTCCCCTCCCAAGCATCTACCCTATGGCATTGGAATTGTCAGATAATCTGTCTCTCAACCAGATATTGCTCCCCTCAAAGAAAAGAGCTAGATCTCTCATACTCACCCCCTTACTGGAAAGCTGAAGACACAATGTAGATGGTTGCTGAATGAATGAAATTTCCTCTCTCACCCCATGGGAAGAGTTAATAATTCTTCCTTGTCAGATTAACAAAAGCTACCCATCTCCCAGCTCAATGAATCCTGGACTGACAAAGACTGATGAAGGGGGTCCCTGTGTAGACCGTGGTGCATAAGACAGGGCACCTGTATGATTTGGGCAATTCATTTGCCCACTCTGGACCTCAGTGTCTTCTGAAAGTCGGAGAAGTGGGGCTAGAAGGCCTCCCAGCTCTGATGGCCTGTGGGTTATGTTTCTCTTTTGCATGCAGCTAGATTCTCTGTAGCTTTCCTGTGTCTCTCCTTCTCATTCTGCCTTTTTTTTTTTTTTTTTGCAAACTGGGGACCACGGAAACAGACTCTGCATGGTCCAGCCCTTTTGACCCCAGAGATGCTCCAACTGACCCTGGTGGGAGAGAATGGGTTTTCCAGGACAGGGGGCCAGGGAGGGGGGATGGGGCTGCAGGGGGGACTGCAAATGCAGGACTTGTTGATAGTGTGGGAGTGCATATGCATTCTCAAATCCTGCCCCTTCCCTTATCAGTGACCCCAGCGCTTACTGTACCCTTCATTATGGGTAATGGTTCTGGGAAGGGATAATATGTGATGGGCAGATTCATGAAGTTAAATGGAAGAAAACATAGTGTAATTTTTTCTATGCATACAAAGTCTTAAGAAAAACAAGGCCATAGTATAAAAGGCAGCATACTTGGGTGATAAAACTATGAAGAAAAGCAAGGGAACAATTAGCATTAAAGTGACTCTCGGGGCTCCTTTGGGGGGGTGGGGTGTGCAATAGGGATGGGGACCCAGGGGGGAGGTCCAAGATGCCTGCAATGCTCTATTTCTATATTGTGATGAATCACTGAGTTGTTTTTCTGGGCATCCTTCTTTGTATCTTATATTTCCCCCCCAAAAAATGTGTCAAAAGAACCAACATCGGTAGAAGGGGGTGCCACCTACCAGGATTCCCAGAGCCTTCTCCCAACCCCCAGACACATAGTTAAAACTAACCTTCTGTGAATTCAAGGGCTCATCTCTTCTCTCACAAAATCCCTACCATCTTGAGGGTGAATGACACCTAGTTGGGGTTCCTCACTCTGTGTCCCCCGCACACCCGACTCCTGGGAGCAGACCCTGCATTGGCAAAACCCCAGAGGTCGCCAGACCCTGCATGCTCTGGAGCAATGAAGAGGAGCATGGCCCCGTGAGATACCAGCGGTGAAGAAATCACCCTGGTGCCAGACAGCCACAGCGAAGGGGGAAAGCCGACACTTCTATCCCTTTCAAAATCTGCCCCTTCTCTTCTGCACTTCTCCCCATACCAACCCCGCTTACCATAACAGCCCCAGGTTCCCTCTCCTTTGAGTTGGGTTCCCCTCAACATCCTTGGAGTCTTTGTTTGCACTGCCTGAGTGTCCCCTCTGCCCAAGCTTTCTGTAACGCAACCTCCAACCTGGGGGGACAGCAGCCCCTCACTCTGCCTCTGGCCCCCTGTCACAGGGAGCTCCAGGTGCTGGACACTTGCTGTCTCCCCACTGGACAGTGACTCTTGGGTCAATGGCCGGGGCTAGTGTGTGACCTCATGAGCAGGGAGGGGATGCCCACTGTGTGGATGCCAAGGGAGGGAGAACAGTCGGCCTCCTCACACTCCCAGCCCCGGCCTCCCCCATCCCTTGTATCCCTGTGACTTCCACAGACATGTACAGCCTGCGATTCAGGGGGTCTGGCCAGAAGGGACCCGTTTCCACTTTGCAGAAAACAACTCCAGAGGGAGGCTGTGTCAGCAGGGAGACGGGAGATGGGGCTCGAGCCCTGCACAGGAGGTGAATTTAGCTCCCTGAGGGCTCTCACCCTCTCTGGCCTCTAGGTCCAGGGTCCCCAGGAGTGGACATGTGGTGGCAGATGGCTGATTCCCAATGGCTGTCCTGGCCCTGACAGCATCTGGGTGTGAAGTTCCTCCTCTGAGGAGGGTCACTGTTCTGACATCACCTGCATTTTCCCGTCGGGGCTTCCTCTGAATCTTGCAACTTTTAGTTCCTGAGAGACCAACCCTGAGAAACAGACACCCTGGGGACCCTGGCACTGCCAAGCCCAGACATGCTCCTGCGGCTGTTGGCCCTGCTCTGGAGGAGGGAGGGGGCTGATGGCCAGAGGCGGCCCGAGAGGAAGGTCCAGGGGATTACAGGCTGCAAGTGTGCGGCTCAGTGGCCATGCAGGAGCGTCTATGTGTGCTCATGCCCTGCAGCTTCTTGCACCCCCAGGACCAAGGGTCTGACTTTACCTCAGCTCTCGGCTACTGGTTCCAGGAAGGGGCCAGTGCAGACCAGGATGCTCCAGTGGCCACAAACAACCCAGATCGAGAAGTGCAGGAGGAGACCCAGGGCCGATTCCACCTCCTCGGGGCCCCCGGGGCTACAACTGCTCCCTGGGCATCAGAAATGCACAGAGAAGGGACTCGGGGACATACTTCTTCAGGGTGGAGAGAGGGCCTTATGTGCAATATAGTTACCTACAGAACCAGCTCTCCGTGCGTGTGACGGGTAAGGAGCAGACTCCAGGTGAAGCCACAGGGGAAGGACAGGGGTCCCAGCGCAGGGCTGGGATGGAACTCCTCTCCTGGGAGGGACTGGGGGTAATCCATGTCAGGACTCAGAGGCAGGAGCTGAACCAAACCCTGAGGCTTCTCTCAGGGCCTCCCCTTGACCCTCCTCCTGATTCCCATGTCTCCCCATCTCCTCACAGCCCTGACCCACACACCTGACATCCTCAAGCCAGGGACCCTGGAGTCTGGCCGCCCCGGGAACCTGACCTGCTCTGTGCCCTGGGTCTGTGAGCGGGGCACGCCCCCCATCTTCTCCTGGACATCAGTGTCCCTCACTTCCTTGGGCCCCAGGACTCACCTCTCCTCGGTGCTCACCCTCACCCCACGGCACCAGGACCATGGCAGGCCCCTCACCTGTCAAGTGACCTTGCCTGGGGCCAAAGTGACAACAATGAGGACCATCCACCTCAATGTGTCCTGTGAGAGCCAGGCCAGGACCCCCTGGGTCCCTGATGGGGTCCTGAGGGCTGTGGGGTAGGGGTCAGGGCCTGGGACATTGAACGCTGGTCCCAAAATCCAGGCTGGGAGAGGGTCAGGGGGCCACCAGTTTCCACTCTTTCCCCGTTTATGCAGCTCCTGGGGACAGAAGGCCAATGTCCACCAGCCCTCCCCATTAACATGAATCCGCCATGTCTTTCTGTCCCAGACTCTCCGCAGAACTTGACAGCAACTGTCTCCCAAGGAAATGGCACAGGTAGAATGAGCTTCCTCCTGGGGTGTGCGGAGCAAGGGCAGGGCCGGTTCCCCACTGTGGGTGAACCCAAGGGTCATCCTCCTCCCCAGCCTCCATGGCTCTGTGAGCAGCAGTCCCCTTCAGCCGCCTCCTCCCCCACCTTCCGCACTCTCCCCCCTCCATTATCAGGAGAAGAGAACAGGGCAACATGCACCCGGCAGATCTGCCCCTTATCATGCATCTTCTGATGACTCCTCCTGGCCCATCTTTTATTCTCCCTAATAATTGCTTATTTATGTACTTCTGAACAGGTAATATATTCACATAGACAGACTTTCAAAATGCACAGCAGAATCTGTCCTCAGATACCCAGTCCTCTCCTGGAAAGTGACCCGTGTCTATGGACTGCTCTGAGCCTTAGTGTGTTTGCCTAGAGGATCTGAGGGTCCTCTGATATCAGTAGTACAGACTGCCCTCCATCTTCTCCTAGACTGTGGAGTTGATCCATCCCATGGATGGATTCTGATTCCATGCGTGTCTTCTCCTAATGGAAAATCACAGCATTCATTTTATTCTATTAGCCAAAAAGCTGCAATGAGTAATCTTGTGTCTCCTTTCCCAACTGTGCATATGTATGTCTGTGGGATAAACTCCTAAAAGCAAAATGTAGCTTTTATGTTCTTTCCAAGTTGAGGTATGTGGTCAGTTGTCCTGAATGGAGGGTGGACAAGTGTGCATTCCCACCAACAAGGGGAAAAAAGCATGCTTTTTCCTGCACTTCAACCTACTTCTGTTTGTCTGTCCCCTCATCCAGTCTGTTTTCAAGTCCTTCTGCTTTCTCTCCATCTTTTTGTCTCTCTGACCCTCTGTCTCTTTTTCTCCAGCACCCACAACCCTGGAGAATGGCTCATCTCTTCCAGTCCTGGAGGACCAGTCCCTGCTCCTGGTCTGTGTTGTCAATAGCAACCCCCCTGCCAGGCTGAGCTGGGCCCCGGGGGAGACTGACCCTGCGCTCCTCAAATCCCTTGTACCCTGGGGTGTTGGAGCTGCCTCAAGTACAGGAGAAAGGTGAAGGGGAGTTCACCTGCTGAGCTCAGAACCTGGTGGGCTCCCAGCATGTCTCCCTGAGGCTGTCCCTGCAGAATGAGTGCACCTGTGGGGGGGGGGGGCTGGAGGAGAACAACAGCACCACCCCCAGGACCCCCAGGAGCCTCCGAGCCTTACAGGGGAGCTCAGTTCTGGTCTGTGCTCCCCTGTGAGTCCAAGATATTCCTTGCCACCTATAGTATCACTGTCTTTTTTTCCTGCCAGATCAGGGCGGTAGGGTGGGGTGAAAGCAGGGAGGGGAAGCCAGGGGGAAGGATGTGGGTCTTGAAGGAGAGGGGCTGGGGACTGCACAGGTGTGTATGGGGACACAGATCCTTGATTTGTGGGGCAGGGAGGAGGGTGAGGCAAGTGAAGCGCTCACCATGAGCACAAAAATTTAAGGAGAAGCCAAAAAAACCTTAGTAATGAGAAGTAATACTGCAATGCAGTGTTTTTTAAAAATATAAATGAATGCAAAATAAATATTACCATGAATGAAATTCCTGCATTTTAAATAAAGACAGGCTGCAATCCAACCCCCCCCCATATGCCTCCCTCACTGGGCCCTAATCGCTTCCCCAAGACCCAGGTGCCCCTGTTTGCAGTCTGGCGGAGGGGCTGGAAAACAGGAATCAGGGTCCTGGAGGGAGTGGGAGAAGGTACCGAGTTCTTGGAGAGGAATGACCAATAATCCAATCTGTCTGTAGGAAAAGCATGGCCTTTTTCAGAGAGGATGCTGGAGGCAGCTGGGGGAGCAGGTGTTATGGCTCTGTTTTTCCTGTTTCTCTCCATCATCGTCATCACGTGAGCATTGACCCTGCGGTTGGAGGGACTGTCCTGGGGTGGAAAGGGCAGGCGGGCACAGAGTGGAGGGACCTGGATGGGTTAAGACCCTGAAGCAAGGGCAGGAAGGAAGTCGATGGCACCTGGGTGAGTCTGTTACAGAACTCTGGCCCCACTGTCCAGGATGGGGAAGGCTGCGTTCTCAACACTGGGGTCTCCAGAATGGGACCACTGCTCTCCTACTTCCATCACCCTTCCAGCCCCTTAAGAGAGAACAGAGGAGGGAGTTAGTCTGCCTACAGCACCCTGAGCTGGCCAAACTGAAAGGCTCTCTGGTCTCTTCTCTCAGAGTGAGGTCCTGCAGGAAGAAAGCCACAAGGCCAGCAGTTGGCATCAGGAATATGGTCATGGAAGGTGCAAATGTTGTCACAAGATCAGTGTCTCAGGTGAGTGACCTGGGCATCTTACTTTTGAGCATCCTTTCTGGACACCTCCCCCCAGGATGGCCCCCAGGATTGCTCCTCTCTGCATGGCCAAATTTGCTCTCCTTATCTCCTCCTCCTCCTTAAGGATTCCGCATCTTTGTGACAGCACAACCACCCCCTCCTCTTTCTTTCAGGCCAGGCATGGAGGAGTCACCTTCTCTCTGCCCTCCCTTTCTTCTCCTACAGCCCCCAATTCACCACGTCTTGTCTATTTTTCCTCTTAAGGAGAGCTAGCATCAGCCCCCCCCCCCATTTGACTCCCATCATTGCCAAAGCTTCAGAATCTTTTCCCTGGACCCCCTCACCTCCTTGCCTCTCACTTCCCTTGTCCTACACTAAGCAGTCATTTAAAAACCAACACTATCCAGTCCCTCTGCATTTGAACTGCTTGCCTCCATTGTCTAGACCGGAGGTTGGCAACTTTTTCTAATCTAGGGCCAGATAGGTATTTTTGGCTTTGCAGGCATTACAGTCTATTGTAAGCACTCAACTCTGCTGTTGTCGAGTAAAAGCAGCCATAGACCACGTGTAAATGAACGAGCACAGATGTGTTCCAATAAAACTTTTTTTACAGACACAGGCAGTGGGCCATATTTGATCCATGGGCTATGGTCTGTGGACCCCTCACCCAGAGTACAGAGTCCAAACTCTTTACCCTATAGCCCTGCATATTCCAACCTCTCAAGCACACCTATCTGTCCGGAGGGACTAGGATTAGGGTGGAGTGAGGGAGGAACTTGTCCCAGATGCAAAACTTAAGGTGGTGCTCAAAAATCTCAGTAATCCAGATGATGTTTTAATATACTATTTTAAAAATAAAAATTAAGGCAAAAAATCCATGATGAGGAAAGTACAAAAAACCTAAACAATGACAGGACCAGTAGACTAAGGTTAGTTAAAAATTATTTAAGATCATAACTGAGTCTACAGAAATTGTCAAACATGGCAGCATTCTCAAATAAAAATGAGAGAAGCAGAGAAGTTGATTTTAAAAAATGTCCTCTCTACGTTTGCTTCCAGTAAAACCGGAAAAGCAAAATTATGAAAAATTCTGGTTTGGGTATAAATAAAATCTTTAAACTGAAAGTAATGTTTTATTACACACGCTCTTTAAGTTTGCAATAATATTTCAATTATTTTAATGTTGTGAAAAAATAAACGTTAAAAATATACAAAAACATTTTTTAGGGGCACACGTGTTTTCTTCGGTCTCAATCTCCAAATGGTTCAGAAAGTCACTCTTACTTTCTACTCCATCCACTCCTCTGAACAAGGTTATTTGTGTCTCTGGGTCTTTGCATGGGCTTTTCCTTTCTCCTCAAATGCTTTTCCCTCCCATTTCCACGTCTTCATTCCTGTTCAGCCTTCATGCTCCAATGTAAATGTTGCACTTTTCATCCATTTATATTCAGAGTGTGACTGGAAGCCTTTGGAGGATTTTGAGCAAAGTACCGTGCATGCTTTCATTCATTAATTCGTTCAGGAAATGTTACTGAGCACCTGCCAAGTGACAGGCATTTCAGCTGCCAAAGATTCATCTATGAAAAAGATTTTTGGGGTTCTTGGGTGGCTCAGAGGGTTAAGCATCTGCCTTCGGTTCAGGTCACGATCCCAGGGTCCTGGGATCAAGCCTCACATTGGGCTCCCTGCTTCTCCCTTTCCCTCTGCCGTTCCCCCCACTTGTGCTCACTAGCTCTATCTGTCAAATAAATAAAATCCTAAAAACAAAAAAAGAAAAAAAATCACCTTGGGCTCAATAAGTTTTAGTCTAGACAGAGGGATACAACCAACCAATCAAACAAACAACCAAACAACAAATAAGTGGCTACAGTGTGAAGGATAGACATGTACTTTGGGGAAAATGCAGGGCACAGAGACTGGGAATGCTGGGGAGATGGCTCATATTTTTGTTGTTGTTGTTCTTTATGTATTGGGGTAAATTTACCACCTAGTCTTCTTTAAATGTACAGTTGTGCAACAGAGTTCCAGAACATTTTCATCTTGCAAAACAAATTCTATAAGTACCCATTGAACAACAACTACCCACTTCCCCTGCCACTCCAACCCCTGGCAACCACCATTCTATTTTCTGTTTCTGTAGGTTCAATGACTTTAGATACCTCACATAAGTGGAATCATGCAGTTCTTGTCTTTTTGTGACTGGCTTATTTCACTTAGCATTATGTCCTCTAAGTTTATCCATGTTGTAGCCTGTGACACGATGTCCTTCTTTCTAAAGATTTATTTATTTTTTATTTGAGAGAGAGAGCAAGAGAGCATGCAAGAGTGGGGAAGGACAGAAGGACAGAGGAAGAGGGAGAGAGAGAATCTTAAGCATACTCCCCACTGAGCATGGAGCCCAACACGAGGTTCAACCCCATGACCCTGAGATCATGACCTGAGCTGAAATCAAGAGTCAGACACTCAACCAACTGAGCTACCCAGGTGCCCCAGGATGTCCTTCTTTCTGAAGATTGAATAATATCCTGTTGTTTGTATACAACACATTTTCTTTATCCATTCATCTACTGATGGATATTAAGGTTACTTCCATCTCTAGCTATTGTAAATAATGCTGCAATGTACATGGGTATATAAATATCTTTTTGAGAGCCTGCTTTCAAGTTTTTTTGATAAATGCTCATAAGTGGAATTGCTGGATCATGGGAGTTTTCATTTTTATTTTTTTGAGAAACCACCATACTGTCTTCCCCAGTGGCTGCACCATTTTACTTTCCCACCAACAATACACAAGGGTTCATTTTTTCTACAGCCTCACCAACACTTGGTTTGTTTGGGTTTTTTTTTTTTGCCTTTTTAAAAAAGATTTTATTTATTTATTTGAGAGAGAGAGCACTAGTGGAAGAGGAGAAGCAGAGGGTGAGAGAGAGAGAAGCAGACTCCTGTTGAGTGCAGAGCCTGACACGGGGCTTGATCCCAGGATCCTGAGATCATGACCTGAGCCGAAGGCAGATGCTTAACTGACTGAGCCATCAGGTGCCCCTATTTCTTGCTTTTTATAGTGGACATCCTCATGGGTGTGAAATGATATCTCATTGTAGTTTTGATTTGCATTTCTCTAATGATTAGCAATGGAGAGTGTCTTGCATAGGCTTATTACCTATTTGTATATCTTCTTTGGAGAAATGTCTAATTCAAGGTTTTTTATGCACTTAAAAAACTGGGTTATTTGGGGTTTTTTGTTGTTGCTGTTGTTGAGTTGTAGAAGTTATTTTTTTTTTAAGATTTTATTTATTTATCTGACAGAGACACAGCAAGAGAGGGAACACAAGCAGGGGGAGTGGGAGAGGGAGAAGCAGGCCCCCTGCCAAGCAGGGAGCCTGTTACGGGGCTCGATCCCAGGACCCTGGGACCACGACCTGAGCCGAAGGCAGATGCTTAACCGTCGGAGCCACCCAGGTGCCCCGAGTTGTAGAAGTTCTTTATACATTCTGGATATTAACATCTTTTCAGATATATGATTTGCAAACATTCTCTGCCATTACATAGGTTGGTTTGTAGTTTTTGTTAGTGATGATTAAGCAAAGACATGAAGGAGCCTCAAGACTTCGCAATCTATTGTGACCAAAGAGCACTCTGGGCAGAAGAAATAGCAGGTACAAATGCTCAGAAACAGGATGCAGACCAGTGAGTGGAGGACCAGAGGAAGTCTGTGTAATTAGACAGAGGGAGGCAAGTGCCAACAGGCAGGAAATGAGTTTGGAGAAGTCAGGGTATGTGTAAATCATGTCTGCACACGTAGTCCACTGTGGGCATCTGGAGATATTTGAGCAGAAGAAGGACATGATCCAGCTTTCATTTTCACAGATCCCTCTGCCTGCTGTGTGTAAGAAGAGACTGTGTGTAGCATGGAAGTTAGAAAGGTGGCTGGAGGAACATTCCGGGCAGGAGATGATGGTGACCAGAACCAGGATGGCATGAGGGTGGGGCATGATTGCATTCCAGATGAAGTCTGAAGTTAAAACTAATGGGAATTGCTAATGGATTGAGGGTAGGATAGGAGTGACAGAAAGGGGTCCAGGATGACTCCTAGATTTTTGCACTGAGCAGCTAGAAGAATGGAGGCATCAATCATTGTGCTTGAGAAGATTGTAGGAGGAAGAGATCTGGGGGAGAAAAGGAGAAGTTCAGTTTGAATATGTTTGGTGTGCGTTTTGGACACAAAAGAAAACAGCGATTTTAACTACACCATCAGATCAAAGTCCACGGTTCAAGAAAGGGAATGGACTGGTGGGTAAGACTTTGGGAACCACTAGCCTATAGATGACATGAAGCCAATAGAGTGAATAAGGTCACAAAGTGAAGTTGAAGAAGCAGAGTCTGGGGCCCCTCTCATACTTAGGGGTCAGGAAATGGAGAGCAACTAGCAAAGTGGCTGCCAGGGCAGTTGATGAATATCTTGTGTTTAAGAAAAGAAAGGCTTTTATTTAGGGAAGACATGCAACAGGGTTACCTGCTGTTGCAAAGTCCAGAAAGGCAGGGAATGAAAAGGAACCATTTAGATTTCACTAAGCAGAGGTCTCTATAACTACAGTGTCAGGAAGTGGTTGTGTGTGTGTGTGTGTGTGAATCTTACGTTGAATAATCAAGAGAGAACAGGAGGAGCAAAAACATGAACTGTTTTGTTAAAGTGTTCTCTTTTTGAGGGGGCAGCAGAAACAGATGGCCCCACCCCCCCAGCTGCTCTGCAGTAATGAGCTCCTACACATTTAGTGGCATCCAACAGCATAATTTTATCATCTTACAGCTCCAGAGATGCCAAGTCCAAAATGGGTTTCACTGGGTTAAAGTCAAGGTATTGGTGGCAGGGCTGAATTCCGTGTGGACGCTCCAGGGGAGAATGCATTTCTTGCCTTTTCCAGCTTCTGGAGGCAGCTGGATGGCCTTGGTCTCTATCTTCAAGGCCAGAAGCATCTTCAAATCCCTCTCTGCCTCCTTTCATTTTTAAAGAGAAAAACCCCCGTGATTACATTGACCACACCCAAATAATCCAGGGCAATCTCCCCATCTCAATATCCTTAATTTAATTCCATCCCCAAAGTCCCTTTTGCCATATAAGGTAACATATTCATAGGTCCCTGGGGATTAGGGCATGGGCACTTTTGAGGGGCTGTTTTTCTGCCTGTATCACAGGGACATAATTTCTTTGACTGACTGTCCTTCCACGAAACTGCGAGCTTCCTAAGGACAGGTGCTGTACCCGAATCAAGGCTTTGTAATTCTCTCTCCCTCACCCAGTTCCCGTCCATTATATAATAATTCACAATTAGATATTTATTTGTTTAACTCACTCCTTGCCTCCTCCCTGGGTTAAAAAGTAAGCTGCGAGGGGGAAAAAAAAGAGTAAGTTGCCAGAGATCAGGGGCTACATCTGTTGTAGCCATTATAGCACATGCAGTGTCTAGCTCAGGGCCTCATGCACAGAGGGCCTCAGTAGGACACCAGGCTTTGGGGTCAGAAAGAACTTGGACTGGACCCTGGTTTCACCAGGGATTTTGAGCATGCTACTTCCTTGGTTCACCCTCCATTTTCATAGTGATAAAACGAGGACAATAATAATATCTTCCTTATGGGGTTGTTTTGGGAAGTTAATGAGATTCACAAGCGCCAAATAAAGTGCTACATATTAAATATTTGAGGACAGTATGAATGGAGGAGATTCAACAAAAATGTGTGCGGGATGAATGGATGAATGAATTCATGGGCTTGCCTCCCAGGTACCTCTGCCTCCCCACCGATCTGCTCTGACTCCCTTTTCTCTCCCTCCACTCCAGGGTCCCCTGATTGAATCCTGGGCCGGCAGCCTTCCCCCAGATGCAGCTGCCCCCTCCTCAGGGGAGGAAGAAGAGCTCCATTATGCACCCCTCAGCTTTCATGGGACAGAGCCTTGGGGCTGGCAGGAACAGGTGGCTACTGGTATCGAGTGCTTGGAGATCAAGATTCACAAGTAAGAGCGTGCTGAGACCCAGCCCTGGATTGAGGGATCTTGGCCCCGGAGGGGCAAAGAAAAGGCCAGAGGCTGATTCCTGTAGAATTAAAAGGCCTGCAGGTGATGAGCTGTAAGTACAGTGGAAAGAACATAGGCTTTGGAAACAGAGAGTTTCAAGTGCAAAGTCACACGCCCCCCCTTTACTAAGTAAGCGACAGACCAGTCCCTACCTTCCCATGCCTCAGTTTCTTGCTCTGTGAAACAGGGATGAGAAGCCCTAACTGCAAGTTTGTGGTGAGAATTATAGTAGGAAAATCCTGTCAGAGCTCTTGGCACAAAGCATATGCTGACCACATGCTGGATCCCTGTGCTTTGAGCAGAAAAGTCTCCCTGACTCAGGAGGGTTCCAGCAGCAGCCCTCACTCTGGCCTGCTGACATGCCTCCTCCTGGAACGCGCTTCCACCAGGCCTTCCTCTGCCTCTGTTCTTGAAAGCCAAGCTCAGGAGGTAGACTTCTGGGTTCAGAAGGGAATCAAACAGTGGGACATGATCTCTGCCTATAGAGACAATCTCCCTATAGAGACAAACCAAACATCTGAGGAAGTTTCCCAAACGTGTAAGTACATACATATGGATACACACATAAATTGGCAAGTTGGTTCCAAAGTTTACATAGGAATGTGAGGGACCTAGAACAGCAAAAACAGTCTGATAAAAGAGCCCAGTTGGAGAAATAAGACTTTACTATAAAGCTAGAGTAATGAAGACACTGTGGTAAGGGACAGAATAGAGTCCATAAATAGAGTGTGTATATATAGTTAATTGAACAGGTCCAAGTCTATTCAATTGGGAAAGGAGGGACTTTTTATTTTTATTTTTTTAAAAGATTTTTAAATGTATTCATTTGAGACACAGAGATACAGAGAGAGAGAGAGAGAGAGAACATGAGCAGGGTCGAGAAGCAGAAGGAGGGGGAGAAGCGGGCTCCCTGCTTAGCAGGGAGCCCGATGTGGGGCTCGATCCCAGGACCCCAGGATCATGACCTGAACCGAAGGCAGACACTTAACCATCTGAGCCACCCAGGCATCCCAAGGAGGGACTTTTTAACACATGGCAGTAGAACAAGTGGGTCAAGGTTTGGAAACAATGAACCTTGACCCCTTTCTCATGTCACATGCAAAAAAATTAGTCTGAGAGGAATCATAAACATAAAAGTGAAAACTATAAAGGTTTTATAATTGTGCTGCCCAGTGTGGTAGCTACTAGCCACGCATGACATTTAAGGCATGCTACACTAGGGACACCTGGGTGGCTCAGTCATTTAGAGCAACCGACTCTTGGTTTCGGCTAGGATTGTGATCTCAGGGTCCTGGGATAGAGCCCTGCGTCTGGCTCGCTCAGTAGGGAGTCTGCTTGTCCCTCTCCCTCTGCTCCTTCCCCGCTGCTTGCGCTCTCGCTCTCTCTCTCTCAAATAGATAAGTTCTTTTTTTTTTTTAAATATGTGCTACATTTACTGTGCAAAAAAGAAGAGATAAAAGATCTCATTAATAATTTTTAATATTGATTACCTGCTGGAATGATAATATTTTAGATATATTGGGTTAAATACACTATTATTCAAAGTAATTTCACCAGTTTCTTTTCACTTTTTTTATTATAGCTACTAGATTTTTGAAATTACATATTTGGCTTGCACTATTTTTCTATCAGACAGAACTGCTCTAGAAGAAAATTTAGGAGAATATCTATGGGTATGCAAAGATTTCTCATAGGACATCCACAACAGTAAGCAGTGTATATATATTTTTCATTAAAAAGTTCTGTTCATCAAAAAACACGATTAAGAAAATGAAAAGGCAACCCATAAACTAGAAGAAATATATATATATTATATGTATATAATATATATATCCCTGAAAAGGGGCTTGAACTTAGAATATATAAAGAATTATTATCAGTTAATAACACAATAACCTAATTTTTAAAATGGGAAAAAAGACTCAATCATATATTTCACAAAAGAAGAGATCCAAATGGCCAGTAGGTACATGAAAGGGGGTCAACACCACTGGACATCAAGGAAATGAAAATTCATCACAATGAGATGCCTTAGCACATCTGTTAGAAAGGCTAAAATCAAAAAGCCTGAGCACACCAAATGTTGAGAGGGTGTGGAGGAATTGGAACACTTGAATATTTCTGGTGGGATGTAAATAGTACAATTGTGTGTTCTGTACAACAGTGTGGTGGTTTTTTATACAGTTAAACATAATATACCCACTCTATGACCCAGAAATTCCACCCCTAATTTTTACTCAAGAAGAATGAATGTAAAGGTCCACACAAACATTTGCATATATTTATAGCAGCATTATTCATAATAACCAAAGGTAGAAACAACTCAAATGCCCATCAACAACAACAATAACAACAACAACAACAAAATGTCCATCAACAAGTGAGTGGATAACCAAAGTATTATAGCCAAACAACAGAATACTATTCATCAAAATAAAAGAATGAACAGTTGGCACATGTAAGAACACGAATGAATTTCAAAAACATGTTGAGTGAAAGAAGCCAGATACAAAAGAATATACTCTATAATTCCACTTAGGTGAAGTTCAAGAACAGATGAAACTAATCTATTGGGACAGAAATTCACAAAAGCAGCTGCCTCTGTTTGGGGGTGTGTGGCTGCAGAATAACTTTAAATGGTGCACAAGGAAACTTTCTGGGGTGCAGAAAACATCCTATATCTTGATTGGGATAGTAGTTATATGAGTGTATGTATTTATCAAACCTCACTGAATTATACATGTAAGATTTGTGCATTTTACTGTATGTAAACCTACCTTCGACAAAAAAATAATAAAAAATTTTAACAATAATGAAAAGGCTTTGGGTAAAATTCAGCAGCCATATCTACTTAAGACTCTAAGGTGGGGAGATACAGGTTTAAATATAGAAATAGTATAATGTCCACCTCTGTCGATGGGTATATGCAGTGGTTAACTCAGGATGTGCTTGGCTTTCTGTCATTCAAATGAGGTGGCTTGGAAATATCTGTGAACCTGCATTTTGACACATAGATATATAGTGGTTAAATAAGTGAGCACAGAGACCACGCAAAAAGTCAAATTCGTGGGCAGAGCATATAGAAATGGCACCGAGATGCATAAGCACGCACACACCTATTTTCAATCTGCCTGGACACGTTGAAGATGATTCAGAAGACAGCACTGGTCAGCCCCCGGCTCAGACTTAGCTGGGGGACGTGGGGCAGGAGGTGCTAAAAACCCTAGCTGGTTCTTCCTGCTGGTGGTGTTTTAACTTCATTGGGTTTTAGTCGAGCAGAAGAGCACAGTGAAGCCTGCTGGGCCCATAACTTTTTTTTTCCTGATTATAAAAACAGTTCACACATTTTGTGAGGGGGAAAAAAAACCACTTTAGAACATACAGTAAAGTGCAAAAAAGGAAATTAAGAGATAAGACTGTTAATAGTTGACATTTTCCATATTTTCATACATGCTGTACATATTATATCAGCTAGTTAATCTCCCCTCTTCATAACGATGGTCCTACCAGGAGCAGCTTTATATTATGCGTTTCTAACCATGAGTCGTAAGCATTTCCTGCATCAGTGAGCACCTTTCTCCAGCGTGGTTTCTAACCATCACAGACTAGCTCAGCCTGTGCTGTGTCCATTTAAGCCATTCCTGGTTGTTGGGCACTTATAGGTTGTTCTGTTTCCCCGTCGCTGGCAATGGTCATCTTTGCATCTTCTCTGGTGGTGCCGTGAGCATCGAGCTAAGGAAAAGGAGAAGTCAGAAGCGCATTTCCTAGTGGAGAAGAGGCCTCGCAATTAGAGCACAGGGCTCCACATATGACCCACCCCAGCCTACTTCCCATTGGCTGGCTCTGATTGACAGATGTTGCAGCCAATGGCCACTCTGCCCTTGATGTCACCCTGCACCCCCCCAACCCCCACCCAGTCCTAGGTGAGGACTCCAGACTTCCTCCAGGAGCGTCCATCTCTCAACCTCAGTGTGACTGGGCTGGTTCCTTCTCTTGACTGTCTCTTCCAGCTAGACCCTGGACTCTCTCCAGCCTAGCCCATCTCTTTGGGGACTCTCAGCCCTTCTCCCTTGCTCCCACCTCACCTTTTTGCCCACCTGGTCTTGTCCTCATGGTCTAAGGTGGACACTCGTGTAACTGGGGCTGCCTATGGGGAGAAGTCAGGGAAGATGTCACATTTCAGGTCCTTAGGAAACAGAGAATGCAGGAGAATCCTGGAGAAATGAGGGGGTCAGCTTCTTATTTCCAAGCCCTCCTTGTGAAGGACCTCAGGAGTAGCAGGGGATGAATCTGGGAGCTTAACCTCTACACTGAGAGTCCTCCACATTCCCCATATGTTTTAGCATTTCTGATGTCTTAAGGGCATTGGAGGAAGGTGCCATGGGGTAGCAGATGTGGGGAGGGAAAAGAGGCTGGGTGTACCTGGGAAAGAAGCTGGCACTACCTGGCTTAATTACTAGTGATAATAATAGTAAGTTATTTCACACCTATTATATGCCAGACACTAGAGTAGATGATTTATAGAAATTATATTGAACCCTCTCAACAGTCACACAAAGTAGAAACTTCAACCCTGTTTTGTGAATGAAGAAGCCGGAGTTCGGAGAGTTGAAGATACTTGCCTGAAGTCACACAGCTAGAAAATGACAGAGGCTAATTCTGAATCTGGCCTCTCTGACTCCCAGGCCCCTGCTCTCATGCATACCAGACTGGGGAGCTGAGACCAAGGAGAACGTGACACCTCTAAGGAGAATGGGGCAGTGGAAGATGTTCAGTTCACTCCTGGTTGTGAGGAGGGGTTTATGCCTGGCTAGATAGCTTCTTTCAGGCTGTAGAAGAAAAAGTAACCTAGATATCCTGGAACCACTCTTAAACTCCCTAGAGTTTATCATGACTAGTTTGGAAAAGTACATTGAGTGACGATGCTATCAATAATAATACTTA